AAAAAAGACTACGCTAACTGCAGTGAATTCTCCAGGTTATTATGGGAAAATCACATTGAAAGAATGCGGTTGTACCTCTTTCACAGCTGCAGCAAAACCTTCGGCATCTACATTCTCGGACTCCACAGCATCTTTCAGCGACTGTAAACTTTGCAACTTGTTTAAGGGCAGAGACGTTTCAAAGGAACAAACTACCTTCATTGCGCCGCTGCTCAGGTTAATATAAGGTGAGTAGAGCTGCACAATCTCCTTGGCGTATGTCTGAAGTTGATGATTACTATGGTTCTACAAAATCATCAAAAGAGTCAAGTTCCCTTGTAAGATTCTCCTCAGTTATCGAGAATTTGAAAGCCTTTTCGTGATTATTATATATCTTTGTCACATCGATCATAGTCAATTGTATAATACATTTTACCTTCTTCTCATCGGTGTTCTTCATTTTTTTGAGTTTATCCACAGCTTCCACAAACGAAAGATTCTCTTCAGCTAACGCTTCGTATAGGAAACAACGGAAAAGCTGGCACCCTGGATTACGAATTCAAAATTTTTGATTCTCTACAACGCTCAATTGATGCTCACCTTTTTCGTCTTTCAAAACAGCAGCACACGAGCCCGATGCCCAACTAGCAGCTCTCGGATACTCCACACCGACGGTGTCGGGCATTGGAGGAGGCTGACGATCAGTCTTAGCAGTGGGGTCAAACATCGACATGTTCTGAAATAAATTCTTGGCTAACTGCATTCGATTCATAACATTTTCTCCTTATTTGAAAAAATCCCTTGCGTCATTTTACTATTTTATCACTCCTTTTTTCAAAGAAACAAGTCACTACTTCAATTTCGCTTGCTTGGCTTTGCAACTTCAAGTTCATTTGTCATTGAAAATTTTGAATATTTCAAATTTTAGCGGTTATAGCTCTACATTTGAATGACATTTCCCCAATAATATCCACTTCCCATTATTTATAATTCAAAATGATGCGATGCTTGACGAAACATTTTAAGAAGATTAAAAGAACTCAAACAACTCAAACAGAACACTTCGCTGTCGATGTAACGTGATACTGAATTTCCGAAGACAACTGATGCGAACTGCGCACCATATATGTAGAAATCAAAGTGTGTAAGTAGCGTGGTTCAATATGTTTCGCACAGAGATGTTTTTGAGTGGGCGGATTGTGCTGAGTTTTACTACCATATGAATAAGCTACGGCGGAAGACATAGGCTATTCGAATGTGGTAAATCTCTGAGCCCTTCTATCTACCGATTTGTCGGCTTACATCTAGCAAAAAGCTTATCAATCATTATGGGAGTATATCCGCATAATTTATGAGCAGGTGCGGTAAAGCCCATTTACATTTGACGACAAGGAGGATCCGGTGTTTTGA